TTCTGGGGGTGGAATCCCAGTCGCAGAGTTCACCCACAAAATTGTCTGCGAATCCAAGGCAGGAAACTATGTACACACGCAGATCAAACAATGGGGGGAGTAAAGGTGTTGGAACACTGACCTGGCGCTCGGCACGGGGCGAGGCACGTCGGGCTCGAGGTCGGCGGGGAGGCCGAGGAAGCCGACGAAGCGGTCGAAGGTGACGTGCGAGACGTGCCGCACATCCGTCGGTCCCCCTATCTGCATACCCGGCGGGGGCGTCGCCCCGTCCTCCTCCAGCTCCTCCGGCTCGCGCACGCCGGCGCCGGCGCTGCTGCTGCACAGCATGAGCGACCTCCGGAGCGCCCCCGTCACCATCTCAACCACGGACACCCCTCCCCTGGCCTCCGTTGCCGGCAGCATCAGCGGAGACGAAACCGTCACCTCATCCATCTCCTCCTCCTCCTCCTCCTCCTCCTCCTCCTCCTCCTCCTCCTCTTCCTCTTCCTCCTCCTCCTCCTCGTAGGAGTCGGTGTCTGAGTGGGACAGGGGGATCTGGTGGCCGAAGCGGATCTCTGACGACAGCGCCATGGGATTCTATTCTAACCCCTACGCGAGAAGCAAAGAGTGGAGTGGAGGGGAGGTGGGAGAGAAGTGGGCGGCGAGCGGCGGCGTGGTGTGTTGTTTTGTAGGCAAAAGCCTCGCTGGACGCCGTGGCTGGTTTGGTTTGTTCTACTAACTGCCAGTTTATACAACAGGCAACAGTTTTTATTCCTGGCCGCCTGATGTGATTACGCTTGCCGCCTCGTTGGATCAGCCGCTGCTGTTTTCCGTCCGGCTGGTGCTTTTGACTGCATCTTAATCTCAAATAAAATTTTTATGATGCTGATGATGAGAAAAAGGCGGGCAGCTTCAGCAGTGAGTGGTTTTTATGATATTTTAATGATGCTGATGATGTTGAAAAGAGGCGGCTGCCTTCCTTGTTGCTTCCAGCGTGGCCAGTGAGTGTGACTTTGGGTGTCTAGGAAACGAGTGAAGCAGAGAGGAGAGAAATTTTAATTAAATGCATGCTTGGAACAGAAAGATTTATCTACAAAAGTTGAGGTTTATAGCAATAGTTCAGGTCCAAAAATCATCTTTCTAAACAACCATGTAAAGGCACTAAAAGATTTGGGACTTTGGGTATATGTAAAGAAACACAAATGGTTAGATCTCTCTAAATCATTAGTTTTTTTAGCTTAGTACCTTGTACGGTTCTAGGAACGGCTCTGATTGCCCTACGACTCGTGTGGAGCCCAAGCTTCCTCCTCCACCCTTGCACCTGCGCCACTAGTCCTAGCCTCATTGTTCACCTCATGCATAGGTAATGGCTCATGCGCCACTGGATCTCATGGTAAGGACAATGATATCACGCGACGGGTCGCATGTCTCAGCCGTCGCGCACTCTCTCCCTCTGCCTTCTTCCCCATCCCCATCCCCCCCCGGTGGCTACCTCGCTGCTGGCCGTGCCACCCGCAACCCGCCACCATGCAACGACCCCGCCCTCCCCTAACCCGAAGGCACCGGCAAGTCCGCTGTCCTCGTCCTCGCCCCGCCACCGACCCCACCACCGGTGGCCGACGGCGAGCCGCCTCGCCTCGCCGCCCACAACCCGCCCCCGCCCCTCGAACCCGCCCACCCTAATCACACGACCTCGCCGCCGACCATCGGGCGACGCCCCCGCCGCCAACCCCACCCATCTGGTTGTTCGCCGGCCCGCCGCATCGCCCTCAACCCCCCGCCACCGCTGTGTCATGGCTGCCTCCCCCCGAACCTCCTTCTAGAGCCGCCGGTGATGCCCAACCCTAACTCCAGTGAGCCCCCTCTTCTTCCTCTTCGGCGGGGCGTGGGCATGGGCCAGCCCGTGTCGCGCGCTCGGCATCCGGCATGACAGGTGGCGTAATAGAATTTCCGTCAAGATAAACTGGCAATACAAATACATATTTGTCAGTAGTACGCACTGCTTCTGTGGAGCCCATGGCTCTTATCCGTAGGATTGGCACCAACAACCATGGATAGCTGTAGTTTAGTGCTGCATTCCGTACTCCGTACTAGTGTACGGGCCAACATTGATAGTACTATCACTCATCGATCATCGTTTTGGGTTGTGGTCACCGAAGAAAAAAAAAACAAGAGGTGTTGCTGGAATTGGACGTACCCTGATGGTAGAGCGAGGCGATAAACGGTCGCCACAAATATTTCTTTTTGGTCCCTTGAACAGTTGGATTGTATGGCCAGTAGTTCCCGTGATACCCGTGATGCCATGATGAGCTACCTGCTAAAAGTTGGGCAGCGATAGAACAGGGACTACAGGAGTCGGGGAGGATAGGAGTACCATATAGGACCTGCTGGCTTTCCACGGAGGGAGTATATATTAGAACAATTAATTCTCTGATCTGCGATTCTGCAAAGTACAAAGTGAAACAATATATTTAAACAAATTTAATTTAATACGGATAAATATTCTACCCTGTCAGTACTATGTCTTTCGCTTTTTTTCTTTGTCTAATCTAAACTAGTAGTAGTACACTAGATCACCTTTCCGTCATGCCTGTACGAGCTCAAGTTTACGGACCTGTCGTGAAACGATTGGTCTAGCGTCCATCGTTCTTTCCGTGACCACATGGCGAGGTGGCCAAACACTTGTGCTTAAAGCATGGGAGCCACAGTATTTGTCCTTTCTGCCAGGGATGGCACTTTTGTTGTCCTTGGTTTTGCCTGATCGAGAGGCGTCACTTGATGGGATAAAGCACAGATGCCCATTGGCCGGCCAGCATCGGAATTCGTAGCAGCCTCACTCTCATGGTTCCTCAAGCTACATGTAGGCTCTTTGGCAGTACCAAACGGAGAGGCCTAACAAAAAAAAAAAAAAAAACATGTCTAGTCCGCTATTCCGTGTTGAGTGCTTACTGTTATGGGTGTCTTGATTGGTATAGGTTGAATCCTCTTATGCTCATGTGTTTGCTATTTAAAGATCGTCTGACAATGGTCTTTTCCAAACAAGTACACAATTTAAATTATTACATCCATCCGGGTTAAAAAAGTCTTCAAATAAATACTGATGCTCAAATTTCACTGAATTTACTTCAAGATTTAGCGATGCAATTCTTCTAATGGTAGACAATGTATACGTCGATAGCGAGTAGAGTAACATGCACACAGGGATGAAGCCAGAAAAAAATTTATGAGGGGCTGAACAAAAGAATAGAGGCTTTTTTATCTTCTCTTAACCTTAGCCCCTCCTACCTAATACATATATGCATAAAATTTTAAGAGAGGACTTAGGGGGGCTCCACGTGTCCAGGATCGGTAGGGGGGGGGCTAGAGCCCCCCGCCCCCAGCCCCACCGCTGGCTCCGTCGCTGTGCATGCGATGAGTTAGATTTCTGGACGGTGATTTTGCATGCATGTGTTATGACCATCCACGTTTGAATTTATGCTTTTCAAGTAAATATATTAGTGTTGTCTTATGCAGTGCCACGTACTAGAGAGACTTAACAAATATCCAGTACAACGTATTTTATCTTGTAATTTGTCTCATGGTAATTCCAAGATCTTTATTTTGTACATAGAACAAAGGAAATCTTGTGAGGTCTATGATAACAACAACTCGTGTAATAGTACACGGTGTCTTATAGCTCTGAATTTTACTTTATGGGTCCATTTAAATTTTATAAACTTAAACCAATATCTAGAAAGTGATTTTTGTTCTATTATTAGATTACTTTTTAATTCCCCTCAATTTCTAGAGGTCAGATAGGGTCTATGAGTTTTTTGTTTTATGATAAAATAACCACACGTCCTTTACTTACCTCCATTTCTCTCATCAATATCATATTATCATATAATGGCCCTGTTCGTTTCGCTGAAATTTGGCTGCTGCTGATGTTGATTTGTTGTGAGAGAAAAACACTATTTTTTCGTTGAAAAATACTGCGGAAGTAATGCTAAAAAACAGGACCAATAGATATTGTATGCGGATTTACACAACCTATAGGGTCGATGATGTGTATCAACACACTCGCCTTAGTTTCCAAAAAAAAAATTAACGCATCATCATTCCATAACGGTGTAAGCACAACTTGTTAAAAAAAAGAGTTGTAAGCACAATGTCAAAGTGACAAATTGTAATACGATAATGATTATACGAGAACGTCCGTCCGCAACACGCGTCCGGACACGGCCACGCGGCCCTGATATGTGACCCCACCGCTCCCTTATCCCATCCCGTGACCGCGCTATCTCCCTTATCCCACCCCGTGAGCCTCTACCCCCTTATCCGCTCGTGTCGTGACCGTCGAGGCCGCGAGATTCCGCTGCCGCCCTGTGCGTGGGGGATGGCGATGCGACGACATGGCACGGCGGCGTGCGTGGGGGATGGCGACGCGACGAGCCACAACGGTGCGGCGGGGGACGGGCCGCACGCGGGGACACACTGGTTTTCAGATGCGGGGGTGCGCTTGTTTTATTGTATCGAATAGGTGCGATTTTATTTCTGTTGTTTTATTCGATGAGATTGGACGCTTCTGTTATCACAATCGAATGGTGAAGAGGAGCGTCCGGACGCGTAGGTGCGTCCATGGTCATACCGCGAGGCCAGCATAGTTGCCAATTGGGGCAAAATCAGACTGCAGGCCATGGGCTTGCGCCCATCTGGACTCGCTGGTGAAGGAGAAGGCCTTTTTCCTCGTCTCCTGGGGATTGGCCGATTGGGCTAAGTTAGGCCCCGTTTAGTTCCGAAAATTTTTTGACTTTTGACTATCGTAGCACTTTCGTTTGTATTTGATAAAAATTGTCTAATTTTAAACTATTTAGGCTTAAAAGATTCGTCTTCACGATTTCTCGACTAACCGTATAATTAGTTTTTTTTTTGAAAAATTTTGAGTTTTGGGTTGCATCTAAACTGGGCCTTAGTCCAAGAGACCGTTAGTCCGCTACTCACCTTCTTCGACACTTCTCTATTCCCGTCACCGAAATTCCCGGATGCCGCCGCCGCCGCCACCACCACCAACCTCCGCTGCACCCATGTCCCCGGCATCCCCAAACAAGCCGATCCCATCCCCGCGCCAGATCGCCGCGCTAGTCCTGAACCATCCGTCCTCCACGGTCACCGCCCCGTCGGCGCGCTCCCTCTCGGCGTCCCTCCTGGCCGCCGGCCCCGCGTCCGCGCTCCCGATCCTGGCCCCCGTGGCCAACACCGTCATCAAGCTCCTGTGGCACCACGCCGCACGCGCGCTCCTCTTCTTCCACGCTCTCCTCCGCCTCCCAGAGCGCTCGCGCCACCTCTCCCCGTGCACGGTGGACCTCGCGCTCGACCTCGCCGCGCGCCTGCGCCACCCGCGCCAGCTCACGAGCTCCATCCTCGCGCTCTTCCCGCGCCACGGGCTCGCCTTCACGCCGCGCACGTTCCCCATCCTGTTCGAGCGGTTTGCGGTGTCCCACCGCCGCCCCGACCTCGCCGTCCGGCTCTTCCTCTCGCTCCACCGCTCCCACAGCGTCGTGCAGGACCTCCCGTTGTTCAACTCCCTCCTCGATGCGCTCGTCAAGTCGCGGCACGCGGGCAAGGCCGCCTCCCTCGTCCGTGCCCTCGAGCGGCGGTTCCCCCCTGACGCGGTCACGTTCAACACCCTGGCCGACGGATGGTGCCGCGTCAAGGACACCTCGCGCGCGCTCGACATCCTGCGGCAGATGGTCGAGTCAGGGATCGCCCCAACGAAAGCAACCTATAACATCCTCCTCAAAGGTTTCTTCCGTTCTGGACAGTTGCAGCACGCATGAGACTTCTTCCTCCAGATGAAGAAGAGAGGCAGCAACGACGAGAACTGTAAGCCTGACGTCGTATCGTACACTACCGTACTTCATGAGCTGGGTGTTGCTGGCCAGCTGGACAGAGCCCGCAAAGTGTTTGACGAAATGTCTAGAGAAGGATGCACGCCATCGATTGCAACTTATAACGCGTTAATTCAGGTAACCTGTAAGAAGGGCAACGTGGAGGATGCTGTGGCTGTGTTTGATGATATGATCAGAAAGGGTTACGTTCCAAATGTGGTTACCTACACTGTCTTAATCCGAGGCCTCTGCCATGCTGGGAAGATTGATCGAGCTATGAAGCTTTTGGATAGGATGAAAAGGGAAGGTTGTGAGCCTGATGTTCAGACACACAATGTTCTTATCAGGTATTCATTTGAGGAAGGGGAGATCAAGAAGGCCTTGGATTTGTTTGAGACAATGAGCAAGGGAGAGGAATGCTTGCCCAACCAAGATACATATAATATTATAATAAGTGCAATGTTTGTGCGTAAGAGAGCAGAGGACATGGCGGTGGCCGCCAGAATGGTGGTGGAGATGGTGGATAGAGGCTACTTGCCAAGAAGGTTTATGTTCAATCGTGTACTGAATGGATTAATGCTGTCTGGGAGGGAATCAAGAGCTGTCAAGAGAAATAAGATTGTGATTGGCATTGGGTTTTTCGAATGATGTATACATTCGACATTCTCTTCATCTTTCGCCCTGGGTACAGTCTACAGAAGATCAAGATGCAGCACCAGGAGAACCTATTGGCACTCCTATGCTCCTACTGTCCAGTGATTACTGATCTGTCTGATTTGGAGCTGAAGCATCATTGTAAGTATATATTCTGAAACTTGTGTATCATAATATTTCAACTGACTGTTTGAGGCGGTTTGGAGGTTCTTTCCATGTGTGCCCTGTACGCTTGGCTGATAAGTAATGGCTGAAAGTATTGATAGCTGATTTGTTGTGAGAGAAAAATATTGTTTGTTGGCTGAAAAAGTACGGCTTATAAACCAAGCGAACAGGGCGGTGCTATTTTTCAAAAAGCCGTCTGCAGACTGTTTAGTGTAATATCTTCTGCTCATGAGATCAAGACTTACTAGTACTCTAGGATGGTATGATGCTACTAGCTTGTCAGGAAATAGAAGAGCGTTTCATCTCTTCTTATCAAAGACTTTGGCCGCTGCTCAGGGTGGCCACGTCGCCCCGAATTCCCCTGGCCGTCCGATCTCGCGTTCGGCGGCCCAGATCGTTCGAAGCGGATTCTCAATGGCAGCCGATTTTGGCCGCCAAGAGCGCCGTCCACGTCGCTCTGAATCGTCCCGGCCGTTCGATGTCGCGTTGGACGTCTCAGATTTATTGTAGCGGATTTCGTCGTAAGCGGTTTCCCGTGCTTCTCCTCGCCTTTTCCAGCTTCTCCTCAGCTTCTGCTCGGCTCCTCGTCGGAATCCGACCAGACGAATATATTCGCACCTCCTGCTTCAGCTTCTACACGCTTCTCCTTTCCCCATCCTCTCTCCTCTTCCCTCTCTCCCCCGACGGGAGACGGTGGCTCGTGCCGGCGGCGACCTGCGGCTACGGCCACCCTCGCCCTCCTCCTCCCCTCCTCGCGTGGCCTCGTGCTAGCCGGACCCGTGCCGGCGGCGCACCGCACGAAGCGGTGTCGGGGCGCGACGGCGCGGCACCGCGCGTGGGCCACCGGCCACGGCGCTGGGCGAGCGGGCCCCGCCCTTGGCCACCGGCGCGGGTCCCGCCCTCCCCCGCGCGGCCTCCTACCAATTTTGCGCGCCTGCTCCTGTGCAACAGCAAACCCTAGGTGCCTCTCCGTCTCCTGATCTATCGCTGCCTCTCCCTTCTCGTCCCGGATCGGGTGTCGTACCGGTGCGGGAAGCGCTCGATGCGGCCGGATCGAACGGCGCGCCAGCGCGGGGAGCCGTCGATGTAGCCGTCGGTCGCCGCGAAGGCCCCGCCCCGGCCGCATCGGCTGCGCGAGCCCCCTCCGCTGGCGCGGCCGCACCCAGCGCAGCCCCACCCCGCCTACGTCGTGACCGGCCCCGTTGAAGCGACCGATGCCAGTCCAGCTGCATCCTCTGCTCTATTTCGTCCTCCCTGACCTTGCTTGGTCCTGCTACGGTAACCTAAAAAATCCCCTATATCTCCTTTGCCACCTCATGTCTCTGATCCCTTGATTTTGTTTTCTATATGTTTGGATGTAGTTTGCTTACACATACGATTTGTGTTCTGGGAAAAAATGAAAATGTCTGCCCTCACAACTTATGCATGTATTGTTAATCTGGAAGGCACATTGTTTGCAGGTTTGGGACATTGATGCGAACAAACTATGTTATCTGCAACGTATTCGAAAGCTATGTTATCTGCAACGTATTCGAAAGGCGGTCGCTGCAGTCTCTGAAAAGCTGCGGCATGTGACTATGTGAGTTAGCCCCATAGGAGATAGGAACACCTGTTAAATCGGTTTCTACTAAAAAAGCGTAACGCAACATTGTAGCGTCTTAATTTCAGTACTACGGTCTCAGGCCTAGCGATGGTTCATGAGTTCTCGGCAAATGATAGTAGTACATAGAAAATGCATACATACCTGTGAATGCTAAAAGCATTATAGTTGCTTAAAGTATTCATTTATATGAAATTAGAATTGCTTACAGTAAACATTTATACTTCATACTAGCGTTCTGAAGAAAAACCGTATTCACAGGCAGCAGCTCTCCTCCAGTCCTCGTCCTCCCGAATCCCGGCGCCCGGAGGGTGCCGGTCGCGTGGTGCCGTGGTGGCGACCGGCCGTGGGTTGCTGCGAGACTGCACCACAGAGCTAAGCTACTTTGGTCTCTTCCCTCATGCCATCCAACTGGTTTTGATCCTTTGCTTGTTTGCTTGTTTCATTGGGTATATACAACCATACAGGTCCATGTAGTCCACATGATGGAGGACATGGTGGAGCAGAAAGCTAACCCACGTAACAATGTAGTTATATCTTGGTTGTGCAAATATGCCTCTATGCTGGCACTGGGAAAAAAGGTTCTAGGAGTTTGACAAATATGCCTTAGTTCCTTAGGTTTACTAACATAAGATTGCAGATAGCAAAAAACTACAGTTGGACCTGTCAGTTGTCATTCTCGGGATCGTTCCATTCGAAACACGCATGTTCCTAACAAATTGAGTGGTTGTCTGCGTGAATCTATAAATGATCTGAACTGTTTTTTTATTCAGTTACTTAAAAAATTTAATTGGGTCTACTTTTTTCAAAAAAAAAACTGCTTTGAGACCTACTAAATTGTCTTATTTCCTCATCAAGTATTTTATTTGCTTCAGTCCGGCCATGGATTCTGATGTAGACTTTATTTAGCCAAAAAATATTAGGTATACTTTTAGTTTCTGCATCCCTGTATCCTACATTTTCCTCATTTGTAGGATTTTGCTTTCTGTACCAAAAAAGAAGGTGATGGATACCTTTACATATTCTGCAGGTAGGTGAGAAAAAAGGAAATCAGAAAAAAAAGTATTGGACGAACTTATGTCCAGTTGCACAATATGGAAAAAAGCCTACCATCTAGGCCACATTCACACGTGAAGGTCAGCTTGGTATTTTAATGGTATGTAATTCTACATCTATGCGCTACGGTCCTGTTCAACTTCTTAATTCCAATAACTGTAATTCCATTAATTACAAGCGATAACTGTGATTTATGATTGTGACTTTGAAGTGTTCAGCTAAATTCTCAAACTGTATTGCGATGTTTCCTTCCTTTTGGTTCCCTTCCTGGCAAAGAAGTTAGTACCGGATGGTTTACAGTGTGGTGTCCTCGGCAGTTACTGTTTCAATCAATAACTGTGATTTATGAAGTTAGTAGTGGATGGTTTACAGTGTGGTGTCATCTATATTGTCATGTTTCCTTTATGTTGGTTCCCTTCTCGGCAAACATGCCAGTATTGGATGGTTTACAGTTTGGTTTGTGCTTCGCTAAAACTATTACATAAATATTTCCGAGGCTTTTTATCGATGTAGGTCTAGATTTTCGGTTACCACTTATTGATACTTACTATGCCGTTTGTTTATATATAAGTTGTAGCAGCTATGCAATGCTTCATGGTGTATTTTGCTTTTATTTCTATCATTGTATTTTCAACTGACTGCCACGCGTAATAGACTAGTACTTTTCATACCAGTTACACTACTTCCATGTCCAGCCCTCGAACCAAACGCTAGCTAAGACATCGCCGCTGGACTTTCATTCGCTTCTATGCATTCGGAACCAAACACATGAGGACTCCGTAAAACTTCGTAGAAACCATTTATAATTGGTAGAAACTATTTATGCTATCCATTAAAGATAACTATTCACTCCTATGTTTTAACAGCCTGTTCGATAGCCTATAACTATCTATATCTGACTTGGCTTATCAACCAGTCAACAGTATTTTTTTCTCACACCAAACTAGGTAGCAGTACTTTTAGCTATGACTTATAAATCATTCTAGCCGAAACGAAATGGCTGTAAGCGCGGAATGGACATGTTCCTTTGTTGACTGAACTTTTTGAGAGCAAAGATTTTGAAAGTAGTTGAGCGTAAAGAAGTCGATGCGGTGGCGTCGGGCGAAAGCCTGCTTAGCCTGTAGAAACCAGACAGAGGCACAGAGCAGAGGTGATGCGGTGTACTGTGCCGGCTGCCGTATGCTGCTACTATTACATCGACAGTAGTCCTCTCGTGATGCCGGCATTATTGCTTACAGGGCTACGGCCTGCCACATTATTACTATTAACCATATTTATTAGTCATAATATATTATTTTTTAACAACAAAACAGTATTAGCCGGTTTATAAGCCGGCTAAACGATAGCGAACAGGGAGAACAGGGAGCGTTATTGGCTGGCAGGTCAAGGCACCTTGGTCCATATGAAACAGTAGTGTTTTGATTAGAAATCGAAAGGTGCTTAACGTGCATCTAATCCACGAGCGCAGTTTGCATAGTATACCGTGGTAGGAGTAGGAAGAAAACGTGTACTATCAATTGATCGCGTCATTAATGTATCACAGCTCTTCTTTAGTTCCTTTTAAAAGTTTACATCCTATCTTATCAAATGTTTGGACACGTGCAAAAGTTTATATCATATCTTATCAAATGTTTGGACATGTGCATGTAATACTAAATATAAACTAAAAAAATAATTAATTACACAGATTACGACTACTTTACGGGACGAATCTTTTAAGTCTAAATAGTCTACGATTTGACAAAACGTGATACAGTAACACATACACTGATAACAAATTAATTAGGTTTAATAAATCCGTCTCACGATTTACTAACAAATTCTATAATTTATTTTTTATTAGTATCAAATATCCCATTACACACGTATATGATATCTAATATACCTAAACTTTACAAGCTGCAACTAAACAATTCACATGGAATCACGCTTCGGTGTCAGTTTGCACATGTGCCTTGCAGCATGGCGTGGTGCCGTGGTGTGGCGATTGGCAGCCCTGGGCCCTGGCCTAATAGTCGGGTGTCAGACGGTCAGGTCAAATGGGCGCTGCAGCAGTGGGCTCTGGGAGTCTGGGTTCCAGCTCGGCAGCGCGAGTGGAAAGGTCAAAGGTGTTCAGGCAACAGGCATGGCCGCACGGCGGCACGGGGACGAGGTGAGTAATGTTCACTCGACG